AACTGTGAAGGGCTGTTCAATAAGAACACACAACATAGATAACAATGAAATAGCCCTTTGAAGTGCCACAAGCAATCTTACATATTTTAATATTGAGTTTGGAGATGGACCAGTAATCCATTTCTGGTTTGCAGAATTCTGGATTGTAAATGATAAACAGATTGTTATAATTTGATAAATCATAATTTGCTCAATAGACTAGTCCTAACGATGGCTAGACCCAATGACTGATATGCAGTATCCCCATGCTGGTACCCTCCAGATGAGCGAAACCAGAATTGTCCCCCCAAATTCTCAGTCAGCCTGTGTTGGCTGTGCTTCTCTGGCATTCCCAGAGTTGGGTTCCAACTTCCCCTGGGGGAAAGGGGCCCTTTTCTCCAATTACCGGTAATTCTGCCTTCCACTGGGAAGATATCCTGAGTAAACAAATAGTGATGCTCCCTGTATTTAGGGGGTATTGGTGGACCACTCTCTATTTTTCAAAAGCAGAAAATGCAAGATTAAATTAGGTCATCTGCTCACAACTAAATACAGCTTTTATTAGATAAGTACAACTTACATTAGGCAGGCATAGCCATTTTCTGTCTGCTTCTCAAAATTGCTGCCTAAAATCTGAAATGGTTTGGAGCAGCTCTTTTGCCATCTCTGTGGCGGTGCTGAAGGTTGTTATGAAACGGACACTTCTCCCAAGTTTGAAGAAGAAGGGGAACTGAGAACTTTAGGGTTTTAGATTTCTCTAGTAAACTGGCTGTTTCCTTCCTTCCTTCCTTCCTTCCTTCCTTCCTTCCTTCCTTCCTTCCTTCCTTCCTTCCTTCCTTCCTTCCCACTTGTCCTGTGCATCTGTTCTGCCATTCCTCCCTTCCTCCCTTGGTTCCTACATGTTGTGGAAATAATTTTGTATATCCTTTAGTGGATTTATTGACATAACTTTGCCAGGTTCTGGTCATATGGTGGCCACAGTTCTGGCCACTGTTTCATGAAACAGTGAAGCTGAATTTGACGCTTTCAAAAAGTTTGGAGGTTTTTCCCTCTGACTCTGTTTCACTGACAATAAAGAAGAGTTCTTGTTCCTTGCACAGAACAGGGGTGGGGTGGGGGGAAATAAGCAAGGTTTCTCCCGTGCGTACCACACATTTCCCCAAACAGCTTTCAGTTACTAGCATCAGGCCAGATGAAAAGCAGTTTTTGAAAGAAAGAAGAATCATAACTGTTTTGAAAGGAAGCAGCTGAAAGGAATTTACATGTTGTTTAAATTGTTTGAAATCAGCATTATTTGATGTGGTTCACAAACAAAGGAAATGTATTTTAACTTCAGCCGGCAACTCAGTGAGCTTAGCGGGTATCAAAGGAAACATACCAAATGAAGGTATGAAGTCTATCCATGTGCCTAGTTTATATACACACACACAGAGAGACAGACTTACACATTAAGGGTTTTGAGTAGAGGTTTTTTTCTTCTTTTTTATGATTTCTGTATCAGTTTGGCGTACTTGAACCAAAGAAAGATTTGCCCTGGTGAGGGGAAATTGATTTGGTCAAGCCTGGAAGCCTTTGTGGGGTTTCTTAACGATAAATTCCAGCAGCTAATTTTCAGCGGTCCCCAGAGCCTCTTCTTCGGTCCTCACACAGTCAAGTCAACTGATGGATGTAGACAAGACAGAAAAAAAAACACCTCTTGCACAATTGCTCCAGAGAAATTTTTTAACAAATTTTTTAGCAATTTGTTATTTCTGTGCTGTATGCCTTTGGTGCAGCTATTAGGCTCCACTGTTTCTGTTCATTGTACAGGCGTTTGATAAACACAACCGGCTGATTCTCTAAATATTGACATAAGCAGGTGTTCAGTGTACTTTCCACCTGTTAATAGAGTTGATGGATGGCACCCTGAGAGGGTTTTTGTTTTTAGAGTTCTTGTTCCTGCTTCTTGTCTATCAGGTAGGTTCAAAGAATGTTTCTCCCTGTAACGAAGAGAATATAGTACCGGCAAAGAATCAAGTGGTCATATTATATTCCGGCAGAAGTAGCAGGCTGAGTGTTGAATCAGCAGATGGACCCTGGCCTTGCAGGTTAAGGAATGTTAAAAGTGATGCGTCCTCAAAGGATTTTCTGTGCAAAAATTGTTTTCTTTGTGCAAAAGAACAGAGGATGCCTGATCCAGATTTCAGAGGAATGTGTGTGCTCTCCACGTTCTTGTGTTTGGGAAATATGAATCTTCCAACAGGAGAGAATATTTGTAGCTTGGGGTTGAACTGTGGAGTCCTTGGTGCTTTCTGAGCTTGGTGGTTTTCTTGCAAACGTTTCATGACCCAACTACGGAACATCATCAGGGTGCTGATGCTGAAGTCCAACAACCATGCTCAGAGACCATCAAGAACTCCATAAATGGGGGCATGCTGAAAGGGAGGTATTCAGGTACTTCTCTCCCTCTACCTGGCGATGTGATGAATGCTTCTTTTGATGCTTGGATGCACTTCGTGCCTTCGATGAGTACTCAGAATTGTTTATTCCAAGCTAAGCCCAAGGAAAGTATTAATCTTACCAAGGAGAGTAGAATTCTTTTCTTTTATCCTTGGGGAAGGGAATTACTGAAGGAATGGTTTGCATGTTGAGGACAAGAAAACGGCCTTCTATCATGCTGTAGTTCGAGAGGCTTTTTTTCAGTTTTGAGGAAAAAAAAAAAAAGTTTGATCCTTTGGTAATTTTTTCCAGATCTCTTGTCAGCCATTAGGAAAGCTCTCATATCACACAGACAGTGTTTCTGACACCGAGAAACTAAATAGTGTGGCAAGTTCACGCTAATATTATTTTGACTCTGTCAACAGCTGAATGTTTCTGGATCAGGCAACAGGAAGGCGGTGACACTGATGGTTCTGCCTTGTGGTTGCATCTACCCCCTAAATGGAGACTGGGCTTAAACTCTTATAGCTGCTGTGGCCTCAATCCAGAGAGATGACAATTCGAGCCCCCTTGGGTATCGGCATCTTTACTCCTTGGAAGATTCCTTAATTAGGCAGTTAGAAGTAATTATATTCTGGGTTTGGGTGTGTCAGCAATTTTATGGGTCTCTTAGATGCCAGCCATCCAACAAATTTCCCTTAAACAAACACTACTAAACTTTGGGAATGGAAGTTCCACATTTTTCAGCTGGGTGGGTGGAGTTGTTTGAGTTTCTCTTGCCCTGGACGTAAATTGTTTGTAGTGTTGACATATTAAAAAAACCATGTACCCATGTAGTAAAATAAAAAAAAAATAGTGTTCTTCATCACCAGTGATTCATTCTTAGGAGAGGTAAATCAACCCATTTGGTGAATGCGTCAGAAACAATGCAGACTTCCGTTCCAGTAGCATAAAATATTTTTTTTTAAAAAAAAGAAAAAATCCATTTCTCTTTGGGAGCTACGGTTCCCATTGAGTGACTTCTCTTAATGAGCCCTGTGTGCAATTAATCAAATAAATTACCATTCTTCTGTACTCACAAATGCTGCACATTCCCAGTTGTTCCTAGCGAATGCTGAGTCAGCTTCTTCTCACCATTGTTGTGGTTCAGTGCTCTGCGCTTGGTGCCTGACACGATAGCCCTTCCTTCTCCAGCAGTTTGAAGCAACCAGCAAGTTTTGCTTGTTTTAGTTGTGGCTTTAGTGTCCTTTAGAAAGGCCCCTTGAATAGCCCGAGAATTAAGCCCACCATTAAGCCCACTGTCCTGCTCTACAAGGCTCTTGTGAACAACGAAGATAATTGTGGGTTGCCTTCAAAGGGCTCCGGAGGGTTTGGAGAAGGGAAACAGCCAGCGGTGGTCTGGAGGTGAGCTTAGAAACACCCTCCTGTTGCTGCTGCCTGCGTCCTTCCCCATCACACCACTCCAGTAGGTGAGAAGCACATCATGCTTTTCCCCCCATATCTGGCAGCACAAGCCCACAAATGCAACCAAGGGAGAATTCACAGAAGTCCATTTAACCCCAAAGATCCCCTTCTCTTCCTGAGGCCACCTTGAGACACCAAAGAGAAACTTTTCTGCTTATAGAGTTTATTATTTGCATCAGATCAGTAAATTGGCTTGCCAGATCCTCTGAATTCACGGAGGTGAAAATAAAATGTTTTTATCCCTGTCTCACCTTTTTTTTTTTTTCTCATTAATTGTGATTGAAATGATCTGTTTTTTTCCTCCTCAATTTTGGATGTCACAAGGAACAGTGGCTTTTTAGATGCAGAAACAAAATTCTCCGTGGTTCTTGAGGTTGCAGGAAACAAGGGAAGAGAAAAATGAATATGTGAGTTTGACCCTAATGTGATTCTTGCATGTAGCAGGCGATCATAATTTCCTGTTCTGTCCCAACTGGGCCTTCGCAGGGCTAGAAAGAGATTCGTTTTCACCTGCAGGAACTGTAGGAAGGGCATTTGTCTCTAAAAGGAATTCCTCCTTGTTTTTTATATGCTGGTATCCATTTATACAGGTAGCCCTCAACTTACGACCACAACTGAGCCCAAAATTTCTGCTGCTTTGTGAGACATTTGTTAAGTGAGTTTCCCCCTATTTAACGACCTTTCTTGCCATAGTTGTTAAGTGAATCCGGCTTCCTCACTGACTTTGCTCGTCAGAAGGCCGCATAAGGGGATCACGTGACCCCCCCCGGGACTCTACGACTGTCATAAATATGAGCCAGTTGCCAAGCATCTGAAAATATATATATATATATATAACCAGCATTTTGCTGTGTATTTAGTCTCCTAATAGACAGCAAAATGCTGGTTTGATGTCTGAAAAAGCCTAGAAACTAGTGAATGGGATTTCACTGAGCTATGGCTGTATAAAGATCTTGATTTACGTAGGAAAAAATCTGGCTGAGAGAAATATATATATCATACATACATACATATAATTGGCTTTTTGTTATTCACCTGCTTAAAATAAGCCCACTCTATGCGACCTAGATTTTGACTAAGGGCAATGTTATGATCTCAGTGGGAAGTAAAGCACCCTATTCACGTGTGTTTCTTTTTAGAGGATTATCCTAGCGGGACGTGGCTTGGGGACGAAAACAACCCCGAGATGCGTGTGCGCTGCCCTATCACCCCGGCAGACATGCTCCACATCAGCACCAATTGCCGGACTGCTGAGAAGATGGCGCTGACGTTGCTCGACTACCTTTTCCATCGAGAAATCCAGGCGATCTCTAACCTTTCTGGCCAAGGGAAGCACGGGAAGAAGCAACTCGATCCTCTCATGATTTACGGCATCCGTTGTGAGTACTGGGTCTCCTTGGGCCTTGAGATCTCTCCCCATAAGCACGTCTTTCAAACTTGCACAGCAGAGGGGCAAACCTGGGGGATGGTTGGCCAAGTGTGGTGGCCGATAAGTCTTGTTTTGGTGGTGAGGGGTAGCTACTGTCTTTTGGAACTGCCCTGACATGCTACAGTCTGAATCCGTCCCAAGGGATTCAGCTGGAAAGATGTACAGTACTTGGCTTGACTGGGAGGAAGATTCGCATGTACACAGCTGCGTTCTAACACAAACGTTTTGTCAGTCTGGGAAAATTACCCAGCAGTTTCCCCTTTGCTGTAACGGAAGGCATCTGAAATTGGCCAATTTCTGGTTTTTGTTCCTCTCGAGATAAAGACATAGGGGATGCTTAACTTTTTCCGATGAATGAGAAAGCAAGTCTGGTTTCAGAAGATTTACAGGGGTGGCTAAATTGCTCCAGTGGACCAAGGAAATGGAGGGATCTGCGTTGGGAAGAAAGGCCATTTCTTGAGGAAGCCACGCTCAGCAGTTATTGAGTTAAGTTAGAAAAAGCTGAAAAGTCTCCAATGCTATTCGTCTTTCAGATGAGCTCTCTCGCTACGTCTGATCCAGTTTCCTCATTCCATGCTGCTGCATGTTAAAAAAAATATAACTAAATTCAGGCGTAGCCCCCGATATAAGGCAGCTGGCCCCATGTTGACCGTCGACAGTTGGGATGGAAATCTACTGATCTTAAGAGTAGGTTGAGAAAAGTTGGTTTTGAAAGGAAACGTTAAAGCTGTGCCAGAGATCCTCCTTGTGCATGTTGGTGTGTGGGCCTACTTAAATGTGACCCAGAAGAGTTGTGTTCTAGGAGAAAGGAACAGCAGAGATTCTGAATAAGTACCGCTCCAAAATGTTGTCAACAAAGTTTTGTCTACTCCATTGTGATGCTTGGAATGGCAAACCACATTTCACGATCAGAGATAACGGGTTCAGAATGGTGCTCTTTCCAGAGGTTATGAATGTATGAAGATTAATGCTGAAAGGAGAGAAAACCAGGTCAGACAGTCGATCTAAACCATACATCTCTGTCTGGAAGCTCAAGTCATGGTTTGGATTAGAAGTCATGTGTTGGGGAAGCCACGGCTTACGCTGATGTCTGAACTGAAGCACTGATGAACCCACCCACTGAACAATATCTCACCCACCTACCTTTTCCCCAACAACCTGTGGAAGAGCATTATTTTCACCCAGGCAACCTCCCTGCTGCCACCCAGCAGGATTGCCAAGTTGCCTTTTGGTGAAGTCTCATCTTTCAACTCGTCAGTGGAAAGATCCTTGTTGATCCTTTTCTCTTTGTGGGAAAAAAGCCCCAACCAAATCTGTATTTAATAGAAAATATTTTGAAAAGTATATAATATTCTGCAGCCGCACTTTCCAAGTGAGGGGAAATATGCTTATTAAGAATTCTTGATATTGTGCATAAGCTTTCCCACAAGCTATTAATCTTTCGAGGTGTATATTTTCATTCGGTCGCTTCCCATAATGGCAGCGGGCGGTTGATCAGGGAAGGCAGGATTCAGGCAAAGGGGATGCTTAAGGGCTCATTCCAACAAGGCTGCTAAAGAAAGATGTTCTGGAGCAGTGAAATCCAAAATAGGCAGCGGTTAGCAGGGTTTTTTTGTCCCCCTCTCTCGTAAGTATAAATAGGTTTCTCAGGCATTCCTGCCTAATCTTTTTAATATTATTTGAAGTTAGAGTACAGGTAGTCCTTGAATTATGATAACAATGGAGCCCAAAATTTCTGTGGTTAAATGAAACATTTGTTAAGTGAGTTTTACAGCTTTTCTTGCCACAGAAAAGAATGTATCTTTTCTTTTAGGTACACTGAGAGCATATGCATCAAAGACAAATCCCTTGTGTGTCCAATCACACTTGGCCAATAAAGAATTCTGTTCTGTTCTGTTCACTACAGTTGTTAAGTTAGGGTTAGGGTTAAGTAAGACAGTTAAGTGAATTTGGCTCACTTTACCCTTCTTGCCATAGCTGTTAAGTGAATCACTGCAGCTATTAAATTAGAAACATGGTTGTTAAGTGAATCTGGCTTCCCCATTGACTTTGCTTGTCAGAAGGTCACAAAAGTGGATCACATCATCCCAGGACCAGGGGTGAAATGTAAAATCTGTTACTACCGGTTCTGTGGGCGTCGGTGGGTAATGTGACTGGGTGGGTTGTAGAAAAAAATGCTTTTAAAAGCCTCTGACAGTCCCAGCTGAGCTGCGGGATCATCAGAGGCTTTTTTTTTTTTTTTTTACTTTTAAAAGCATTTTTTCGGCCAAAGAGGTTGTGGGATGCTGCAACTGTCATAAGTGTGAAAAACAGCCATAGGCCCCCTTTTTCAGTGCCATTGTAACAGTCACTAAATGAACTGTTATAAGTCAAGGACTACCTCTGCTAATAAGACAAACGTTGTCAATGTAGGTTGAGGTCTATCCAAAGCCCAGCTGAAAGGCTGAGGGGTATTCCAATTTCCAATTGGAAAGGAATTCCAATTTCTTGATATTTCTGGCAAATACATATATTCCTTGCACTGATTTATTTTTATTTAACTAAAAGGAAGACACAGGAAAGGGGTTGACTCCAGGACCAACAGTTCCTTCATCTGCCAAGTTCTGTGAATAATGTACCCTTCCCTGGCCGAAAAATTTCTAACGACTCTGAGCAAGGGTACCACGTCTTATCTGGAGTAAGTGGGACCAGGTCCAGCGTTCGCTTAGAGCCAAATAAAAGTACAGCCAACGAGGGAGGATAGGACATTTCCCGCTGTGCTGCCAGAGAATATAGAATTTCAGCACATCTTTCCCCTGGGACTGAAATTCACGTGGCTTTTCTCCTTGGGCAATTTACCCAAGGATCTCTCAGTGGCAGAGAACTGGTGCCCGGTTATGATGAACTGGAGGTGGGCTGTGATGCCGGTCACTCATCCTTGGGCTGACACACCGCCAGGTGGATGAAAGGCTCCTTCTCTCAAGCAAGTTCAGAAACAGAGAGCCAGTCTTCCCTCCATCAGCCCTTAGTCCAAAGAAATAAATGGTCCATGCTTTGGAGGAAAAGCAACAGAGTAGAGCTTGCTTGTTTCTGTACGGATGGTGGTAGAAATGGAGGCGTTGGGAGAGCAAGCAAAATCAGGGTGGAATTGGGCAGAAATGCAGACAAACCTTTCTCAGAAGGGAACAGAAGCAGCCGTACTATTAAAACCCAACTTTAATGTGATGATGAATCCCTACAAGGGTAGAAAATATGGTAGCCTGGCTCTGTCCCCTGTGAACCTGCTATCAGTTTAATTCATCAGTGAGAGGGTTTCATCTGGAACCCATCAGGGTTTAAAATAGCCCAGACAGAGGGCTGCAGCCTAAAACAAATTATGCAAACCTATCAAAATAGAACAAGGGAAAAGAAGCAGATTTCTGTTTCTGGTTAATGCAAGATGAACTTCATCCGAAAGCTTGCGATTTGCAGATGTTGGGAAACCGTATCTTCTCAGGAGAGCAAAACAGAACAGCCATGCAGTTCTGCCAGAAATACACACACCCTACCTACCCTGTAAGGTAGCACTCGCGGTGCTGGTCCCTCGCTTGCTGGCTTTAGGATGGGGATGGGGAAGCAGACCATCAAGCTCAGGGGTAGGCAGGTATGGCCCCTTTATGACCTTCTATCAAAGGCCTCAAAGAGACAGAGGGATGCTTGCCCACTCCGGCTCTGAATGGGGGCTGCGGCGTTTATTTTCCCATAGCTGAGATTGCGTCACCTGAAAAGCCAGAATTCTTTCAGAGAATTCTCTTAATCTGGCCTCTCAGGTTTTATGGTTTGCTCGGCTCACCTACTGCTTAAGGTCCTGCTGTGTGAACTGCTTGGAATACCTCGGTGCGTTTCTCGTATTGAACGCTAAAATTCGGGGATGTAAATTCTAAAGACGCGATCGTATTTTCTGGGTAGTCTGCCTTGTGTTTTATTTTTGTATTGGCTCCAAAATATTTATTCCCCTCCAGCAGAGAATTAACTAATAAAAGCTATCGATGCGTGGGCTGAACATCGCCAGGCTCCTGTTGCTTATATTAAGCACGAGCCTGAGTCGAGTGTTAAATCTGGAAACTGCTGAGCTTCTTCATAACGGTCCCTGCCTGATGAGCTCTAATGAGAAATTTTAGCTAAGCTAATGAAGCTGCCGGCTTGCCATTTCGAAGCTATAACACTCACAAAGCATGAAACACTTGGATTTTATCACTGCTCCAAAACTAAAGCGGTCCTCACATTAACCAGCTCTCTTCTTTTAATGAAGTGCTTTTTCAGCCTCCTTTCCCAACCTCGAGCCAATCTCCAACTTGGTCCCATAAATCAGCGATTCGGGTTACATTAAATGAGAACAAGAACATTGCAAATTAAGTCTGGATACTCCCGCTTGCAAATGTCGAAAGTGCCTCGTTTAATACATGCAAAATAACCATTTCGTTTCCAGTGGCCTTGCAAGCTTCAAGGCTGCTTGGGATCCATTTCTAACGTTGGAGGTTTAATTCTTCTAGTGGTTTCTCTCCAATTTTCGGGGCATATTTTTAAAGGTCCCCAATTTTATTCACTACACAGTAGTGAACATCCCATCATAGTTTTAAGAATATCCCAGACTCAGAATTAGAGAGGGAATAATGATTTTTCCAGTTGTTGAATTGTACTGCGGAGACACCGAGCACAATTGTGGGAACCGTTTTTTTCATTGTCGGTGCTGAAAAGAAAATTATAGTTTGCACTAGGTGCTAACCTGCCAAGATACTTGGCGCTGCAGACTGGATTGAAAAACAGCACTTGTTTTCACACGTATAGCACAGCTCCAACAATCGACCTCTTTCTGATGCCTTAGATTAAGTATAGTAACAAGATTTGCACCACCTTCACACCGCATTTGAAAGCCACTCGCAAGGCTTGTCCCTTGATGTCTGAATCACCAAGAAATTTTATTTGGTCACTAATCCAGTGGAAATCTATGGGCCCCTGTCAGTTTGAAATTGGGGACTAACAGACGCTCCGAACAAAGCATAGAACAGCTGAAGTGCTCTGAGAGTTGCATCTACGGAGTGCTAAGGAGTGAAAAAGAGGAGAAACTGGCCGGTTTAGAATGCTAGAAGTGAAGCATTGCCGAATGTTGCCTCCAAAGGAGGAAAACTGTATGGCTGCAATATCATCTCCTCTGCAAACACTTTCTCTTCTACTGGAATTGCTACACTTTGCCTTTGGTTCCAAAAAGCTCTCCGTCAATCTGTTCAGTCTTGCCATGTTGCAGAAAACCAGTTGACCCATTTTAAGGACAAGGATAGCTGGGTGACTTCTGCAGGTTAGAGCCCTGTTGAACCCAGAGAGTTTTGCTTGGGGGGTAAACAGCTCTGGGTCGCCCTGCAATAGTTAAGCGTTGTCTGGCTCCTCGCCCCACACTTCGGTTTTCCCCTTTGCTTGCTGTCACAATTTGATAAACCTGAAATCCAAAAAGCAGGTTCCGCGGACGAATGCTTGGTGCTTTCCTTGGGGATCACCTTGGCAGGATCTCTATGACTTTAAAATGCCAAAGCTTCCCAGTTAGTTCTTCCAAGTGGATTGCTGGCTACACAAAATGCTGTTCTGTATAGTCTCCTGCTTGAGCTGGGGGCTGGACTAGAAGACCTCTAAAGTCCCTGCGTCAGTCTGTTAATAAGATTGCAAGACATAGCACGCCGTTCCTAGAAAGGCAAAGAGTATGAAGCGGATAACACACCACCTCTTCTATAGCACTTAATTTCCAGTCATTTGCCTTTAAAGAAGTTTCTCTAATAACCACAGCCAGGAGTTCAATCCTGACTAGCTCAAGGCGGACCCATCCTTCCATCCTTCTGAGGTGGGTAAAAGGAGGGCCCAGGTGATTGGGGGGCAAGAGGCTGACTCTGTAAACCGCTTAGAGAGGGCTGTAGAAGTGCTGTGAAGCGGTATATCAGTCTATGTGCTATTGCTATTTTCTTTGCCTTGCAGGTCACCTTTTTTATAAATTCGGCATCACAGAGTCTGACTGGTACCGGATTAAGCAGAGTATAGACTCAAAATGCCGGACAGCCTGGCGCCGGAAACAGCGAGGCCAAAGTCTGGCTGTAAAAAGCTTTTCACGACGGACACCCTCTTCTTCCTCCTACAGTGGTTCAGGTAATATTCCCCCTCCCCCTTTCCCACCCAAATGAAGTCAGCTTAGTGGCCTTCTTGTTTTGGGGCATATTTTTAAATAGTCATAGACTTTTCTATGTATTGGAGGCAAGGAGTGAGCCAAATGGCTTCCACTGGAAACTGTTGTAACCTGATAGTCGCCACTTATCCAAACAGTAGTAATTCGCACTGCTCTTAAACTGGCCGTCTATGTGCTTGAGAGTTTTCTTCGCAAACCTTTTTAGTATCCTTCTTTCTGAACCGGAGCGAATTAATTTAAACAATAGATCAGTTGTTCTGATCGATACCTGCAATTTTCACTTTTTAAATAGCAGTGAAATCAGGCTTGTTTTCTTCCTAATTTGGTTTCTCACTGAAAGGTATGGGGGCGTATTTTAAAGACGGCCTGAAGCTGGAGAATCTCATATTTGTCAATACTTGGAACCAGGATAGAGTTCAAAAGAGCTACAAGTTTATGTCCTGCTACTTACTAACAAGAATCTGAACTACTAACAGTCAAGGCAAATTGGCTCCAGATAAGAGCCAATGGACTTCAAGGGAGTATGGGGGGTGGGGCTGGACTTCAGTCTCTTACAGGGTGTAGAGACTCCAAACTGATAATGCATTTGACTCCTCCCTCAGACTCAGCCTGATCATCCCCTACAATACTTAGATGATAACTTGGAGAGACCCCATAGTCAGTCGTGGGGGATCTGGACCAAACACCCCAGCAACTGCGCTCCCAGGAGGGCTGGTCTGTGGGTCGGAGGGCTTGTTTTCTGATCTAATCCACCCCATGTCCCAATCTGCCTACCCTAAGTGAGCCGGTAAGGTTGCCCTTGTTCCTTCTCTCCCTGTGTTTTATCATCTTCCAGCATTTATCTTCCAGCCAGTTAGACTGAACTTGTGACCAGTTTGGACAGGGAGAAGAACAGTTTAATCAGAAATATTTTGGAAATCTCACTCAGCCTTGGAAATGAGCTTGCAGGAGAACAAAAGAGCTGGTTGAGGTCCAGTCCACAGAGCAAATAAAATGCATGCATATGAGCAATAAATGAAAAATACTTATCCCGGCACACGTCTTTGATGTGGACTGGGGCTCAGCCAAATGGGTCTCTTGCCATGGGATTGGGGATCTTTCGTTCTCCTGTTGTGTAAAGGGAACTTCCCTTGTTTCCCAGAGGAATGCCACATTTGGAGCCGTCTGACCCTGTTGAGGGGCTGCAGGGAAACACGAGAGAAATGCTTGTGCCCACATCGGAACCTCAGTCGGGTTTTATCCCCAAAGGGATCTGCGTCCCAGTTAGCTTTAATGGGTTGACATGAGAAGAGGGCACACTTCAAGAGTTCTCTCTCAGGACCCTGAAAGCAGCCATGGCCTTAAGCCCCTTGAGATGGATGGCAGCATCACTGAAGGAAGGCTTAGGCCTAACTCGGAAGCGTCTGCGTGTCCATCCCAGCCTCCCTTGAGAGCAGATGTAGCTCAGATGAGAACCGAAAGGGAACAGGGGAAGGAGCGTCTGCAAGGAGTGGTCGAAACTCAAGACGGCCATGCACGTAAAAACAGACAAAGCTTTGACTCAACTGTTATGGCCGCCCTCTTGGCTCTTTCGGCCTCATCCAGGGCAAAAGTGACTAGACAGTGAGTTCTTCATGTACGACCTTAATTGAGCCCAAAATTCCTGTGGCTAAGCGAGACACTTGTTAAGGGGGTGTGGCCCATTTAATGACCTTACCTGCCAAAGTTGTTAAAGTGGAATCCCTGAAGTTGAAATTTCCACACGGTTGTTACGTGAATCTGGCTTATCAGAAGGTCGCAAAAGGGGATCATAGAACCTCAGGACACTGCAACCGTCATAAGTATGAGTCAGTTGCCAAGCATCTGAATTTTGATCACGTGACCATGGGGGTGCTGCAATGGTCGTAAGTGTGAAAATGGTCATAAATAAGTCACTTTTTTCAGTGCCATTGTAACTTCAAACAGTCACTAAACGAACTGTAAAAACTTTCAAGCTCTGGGCAGAAAGCAGACATTGAAGAGCACCATTTTTTGCCTGCCTCACAGCTTCCAGAAGTCTCTCTTCTTCCTCCCACAACCCCAAGACACTAATTAAGGCTGCTCTGTGTTTAATTGGCTGAGCATCTTTACAACCGTCACAAAATGTACTAGTTTCTTGCGGTAACTAATGAAAGTTTCCCCACATTTCTTTTGGCTCCCTTGCCGGTTCTAAAAAAAGGCTACACTTTGTGCTGGAAGGAATCGATTAGCCTGCTGTAGCTTCGGCCTCTGCGTGTGTTTTGGTTTCATGGTTTTCCAGAGGAGGGTGGCAAGGAGCTGGCATCGGGGCAGGCTGGCACTGGTTTCCCAGATCCCCTTTCAAGGAGTCAGAAACGGATCTCAGACCGCTGACTCTGCTATCGTTTCTATCTCTTTCCTGTGCTACTTTAAACATTCCAAAATTCTCTGAAAGTCCCGACCTTAGCCTCGTCCCCTCCCTCTTTCCATTCTACCAGCTGAAGTTCAGTTCTTCGGCCTGCCAACCCCTCTGTCTCCAATAAAAATTGAACACATGGAGAGAAGGTGATAATGTGATAAGGCTGGCCTCAAGTTTGCCCCAGCCCATGTTGGGCCGCTAGAAAGAGTGCAGAGAAGAGCCACAAAGATGATTATTTATTTATTTATTTATTTATTTTATTATATTTCTATACCGCCCTTCTCCTGCGGGACTCAGGGCGGTGCACAGCCAAGATAAAACATAACATATAAAATTTAAAAAACAGGTTAAAAACAATTAAATAATTTCGGCCCAGTAATTAAAATAACCCAATTAAAACCAAATTCAATTAAAACTGAGAGGATGGGATCAAGCCAGCCCAGCTAGATGGAACAAGTGTGTCTTCAGGGCCCGACGAAAAGTCCGGAGGTCTGATATCGTGCGTATCTCAGGGGGCAGGTCATTCCAGAGGGCAGGCGCTGCCATAGAGAAGGCTCTCCCCCTGGGGGTCGCCAGCCGGCACTGCCTGGCCGACGGCACCCTGAGGACGCCCTCTCTGTGTGAGTGAACCGGTCGGTGGGAGGCTATCGGCGGCAGAAGGCGGTCTCGCAAATACTCCGGCCCTAAGCCATGGAGCGCTTTAAAGGTGGTCACCAATACCTTGAAGTGCACCCGGAAGACCACAGGAATGATTAGGGGATAGGAGACTAAACCATCTGATGAAAGGTTGAGGGAACTCGGTGTGTCTAGTCCAGGGGTCCCCCAAGTTTGAAGACCTCTGGTCTAGTCCATCAAAGAGAAGAATTAGGGGAAACACGATAGCAGTCTTCCAACACTTCAGGGGCTGATGCAGAGAAGAGGGGGGTCAGCCTAATATCCAAGGACAAGAAATAATGGATGGAAGCTTGTCAGAGGGAGGTCCAACCTAGAATTAAGGAGAAATTTCTTTCTCCATTTAGTTATTCTCTCATTTTAGAATCAGAGTTCACTGAGCAATTGTTTGATTATTCTGAGCATCCAGCACCTACCCAGAAGGAATGATGCTACAAATTATAAAAAAAATATCAAATGCACCACCATTAGAGCACGAGGCTGAATTTTTTTGTACATTGGCTTGATTAAATGGAGGTTTCCTACAGAATAACTGTTTTAACTCATGCTCAACCCATGGTCCTCATATGAGTCATGAATTCTCTAACATCTCAGTGTTATTATTATTTTTTTATATAAAGAAGGTTAGATAGTTGGCATTCTACATCTCTGAGTGTATCCTTCTCTCTCACGGTTATCTTCTGTTTATACTAAAATAATGCATGAACAGCTCTTATTTTTTTAAAAGGTGGTGTTGCATCTGGCAGTTATCTCTGAATAATAGATGATGATTTTGGGGTTTAGATCCTACTAAATCTTTTCCTTCCCCTTCCTATCTGAGGTCATGACACCGCAGCCAGATGCTGAAAAATTCTGTTTATAAGCAGACTTGTTTCTCGAGAGAGGTCGTTGTTGGACGCATGACATTTGTGTGAGTGTTATGCTTGTGGTATTCAGCAGTCCCTCGGTTCACTTGGCAGATGTAAAAATAGCTTTTTAACATCTGTAAAGGAAGCAGCTGGCCAGTGACAAACACGAGCCTGTGTTGTTCCATTACAAACAATGCGCAGGGTTACTCCAATGTCGTTACTCAAAAGCATCCGTCCATCCGTCCATCCGTCCATCCACCCTGGGACCGTTTTGGTCAGTAGGCACTCTGGGGACCATTTTTCTAATTGAAGTTGGATCGGGATGCTTCCTAGGCTTGGGAGCTTACGTAGCGTGAACACGAGGAAGGGGAAGTTTGCTGGGTATTTAAAGCAATTCCTTCTTGTATTGCTTTGATTCATAGCCAACCTTAGTTGTGGTCGTCTTGTCCACAGGCATCAAAATAAGAAGAAAGGCATCAGCAAATGGAAAATTGGCAATGTTGACACAAAGCATTTTAAAACTGTGTGACAGAAATATAATCACCTGCCTGTCCATCAAGGAAAGCTTTACATTGCTGGTGCTTTGTATCCCTTTCCTGGTGTGTGTTCAGTCCCAAAATACCACACACATCATTCCAACTCATTCGTATACAGATTTCGGCAACATTGGATTGGGTCTGCAGCATCCATCACTCGAAGGCCCTGTCCTTCCCTGGCATGTTTGAACAAAAGTGCACGGCACAAAACTATGCGGGCAAAGTTACAGGAACTGCTTCTCTGTATGGTGACTTTTGGACAATTTTCTTTTTTTTAAATAGAATCAATAGAATAATTAAGAATCAGACATGGAGATGTGTGGATGAACTCTCAAAGCTTATTCTTATATGGAATCTCAAGGCTTTGAAAATCTAGGAGGACCAGAGACATATTTGGAATAAAATGAGAGAAGTATATGTTACAATAGACCACTTTAGGTAGCTCCTGCTTTGCAAAGCCTTGCCTTCTTTTTTCCCTTTATCTTATCTAGCTATTCAAATAAATGGATTCTTTAAAAATAATTCTGTGAAGAATTAGGCACTTTCTTGATGCCCTTAATTCAGTTCTGTTCGTGTTGTTTGGTCCTTGGTTGCAGAATGAGGGGAGAGAAATAATATTCAGAACTATAGATTTGGACCTCCAGATTGACTGTTAATTTCTAGAAAACATTTGAACAGCCCATTGGAAAAATGAAGTCACAATTGGATGGATTGAAGGTAATCAGTGAGCTGAAAAGGAAGGTTAGGGCCGAGGGGAAAAGTCCCGCTTTCCCGGTTGGAAACTTCGCTAATTAATCTGGAACCATTTCTAGGTTAATAAAACAAAGTTGAGGAAAAAAATTCAGCTGCTGCCATAGAGTTATAAGATACGCGTGCATCTCTCTCTCACACACACACATATACAAAACACACCTTCCCTTCTAAAAGACGTTGCTGATGTTATCACTGGATTTCAGCAATGCCACAGATTACAATTTAATAATTAAGAAACCTAAGAAAGGTCCGTACTTTTTTAAAATAAACGATGGATAACTTCTGTTTCACAGCAACACTTATGACATGACTTTCTACGCCTCTCCAGCCTACCCTTCCCCAGACCTGAGGACACTTCTCCTCTCAGGAGGCTTCAAGTTGCAGAAATCTAATCTGGACATTTGGGTGTTATCAGGGGTGGGGAGCTTTGTGATAAACCCCGGGAACTTCGCTTTGTTTTGCAGAGAGCACGCAGAGCACCGTGTCGGCCCCAAATGAAATTCAGGCCAACCAACCCCAGGCGCTTCATTATGCTTTGGCCAACGCCCAGCAAGTCCAGATTCACCAGATAGGAGAGGACGGCCAAGTGCAAGTAGTAAGTATTCATTCTTGACCGTCCCTTCAGTGTGCTCTACAGCTGCTTTCCGCGCGCGCAGTTCAGACTCAGTTTTTCCTTTCTTCCCAAAATATGATTTCCTGAGGTTCATGTAATTAAGGCACGTCCATATGTGTTTTGGAAAAATCCTTTTTCTAGTGTGGTCCTTGATGTTGTGTGTGGTGTATGCGTGTAAAAATATATCATTGAAGTTAGGCTCTGTAGTCACTGCATCTGCACGCATGGATTTGCATGCCGATCGTTGCTTTCCATTGTCCCATTCCGTGCAGGATGCAGTCTTGATGGATTATACATAAGCCTCTCCCTAGCGATGCGAGCAATCCATTTGCCCTCATTTTTTCCAAAGTGCTTTCTGAAGAATTTTTTGGACATCTGTTAGCTGAATTTCTTCCATGTGTATATGGTTAAATTTGTGTACATAAGCCCGGTTTATAAACATTGGCATTAAATTCTTTTCTTTAAAAAGTTTAAGTAAAGTTAACACTTTGACCCCAAAAGATACAAAAAGCAGGAAGTTTAAAGATGGAGTGTGGCACTTCTGCTGTTACTCAGGCTTTTCTTAAAGGATTTCCCTGGTAGGGCATGGAAAAGCTGGAACTGGGTTCCATGACCCAAAAACTCTGGACCGGTTGCATTTGAGCTTCTATGTTTGTTCTGGAAAGGCAAACAAGGTTAGCTTGTTTTAAAATTCAAGCCAGTATAATTCATCCACATCTCCACTTGTACATACAAAGGATTTTTTTTGAAAATTACTTGATTTAGACCTTTTCTATCTGCTTAAGACACCTAACCAAACTCAAACTAGTCCAGAACCTATTTTTAATCCACTCCCCTTCAAAGTCTGGGTCAGACACCTTCCTGGTTACTTCTACTCCATATCAATGCAGAGAAGACAGAGAAGGTTACCAGAGTTTCCTTGGGTGGAGAGGTAAAAAGAAGCACCAGGAAAGATCTAAGAATATTAATGATATATCAGGTGAAACCAAAGGAAAAGACCTACCTATTTTGAGTTCTGTGTCCCATAGAGATGCAGCAGCTGGCAAGACACTCAGTAACCAACTAGACACATCTGGCAAATCCAGCATGTAAAGAGACAGGGATGACTCTTTTATTGATTCATTCATTCATTCATTTATGAAATTTATTTGCTTCTCGCATCCAACAATCTGGGCAGACTCTTTTCCACTGCTGTTCCACGGCAATTCCTATTTAGGACCATTTTTTTTTTTGGTTATGTTTTCCCATTTAATGTTTCATCTTTTAAATTGCAGGTAGTTCAGCTTGTGTACATGGAACTTCTTATTGTGTTTATGGGATGGAAAGGGACACATAGGTAGAAGAACTTGCCTTTTCTGGCGGCACTGGAAGAATTCCCTTAGTTTGCAAGCAGCATAATCCCCCCCCCCTTTTCTTTTAACTAAAGCAGGCCATTGTGCCAGCTGTTCTTTAAAAGCTGATGAGGATTTAGTGTTTGGAAGGGAAGGCAGTTTGCTTATAATTTCAGCCAGCATTGGCTGCATGGCCTTATTTTATATACAGCTCCTATTGTCGTTTGGATATTTGGTCCTGCTGTTTCCCCACTATAAATAGACAGTTTCCTTCTAAAGGAAATGAAACTATTTAAAATAGGAGGATCAGTATTTCTTTGAAATTTATGTGAAATTTTTAGTGCTTTATAAGAAAAAGAAGGTCTTTGACAGATCTTCCTTGTGGATGCATTTAATCTTGGGCTCCTACCCAGCAGCACAAAAATGAGCCCAAAAGAACTTTAAGAAGTCAAATTGCAGCTTGTGGGCCAGCAGGTAAAGCTCCATCAGAGCCTGGGTGTAATTTTTCCCCACTTCCCTTGATCATTTCCCCTCCTTTTTCAATCAGGCAGCCGTTGTACCATGCAGTGATCTATTGCATCCTTTTTATTAAACCCTCCAGGAGCAATTCTCTGCTTTCCCCGTCGGCACAACTTCCCTCGGGAGCAGCTGCAAACCAAGGTCGATTCCGTAGCAAAGAAAAGCTTATCTTTTCTCGGAGAATTGTTTTCTCCACCCAAGTGGAAGGGTTTGTTTATTTTACAGAAGTCTCTACCGCCCTCTCCTGAATGGTTTTGTGCACCTTTCAAAAATATAGCATAGACACCTCAACCGTACATGCCCAGCAGAGAAAAAGCCCTGGCATGATAGCAGTGTCCCAGGATTTGAGGGGCTGCCACAAAGAAGAGGGGATCAACTTATTCTCCAAAGCACCAGAAGGCAGGACAAGAAGCAACGGATGGAAACTAATCAAGGAGAGAAGCAACCTGGAATTAAGGAGACACTTCCTCACAGTGAGGACAATTAAGCAGTGGAACAACTTGCCTCCAGAAGTTGTGGGTGCTTCATCAATGGAGGTTTTTAAGAAACGACTGGACAGCCACCAGTCTGAAATGCTATAGAGTCTCCTGCTTGAGCAGGGGGTTGGACTAGAAGACCTCTAAGTTCCGTTCCAGCTCTGTTCTGATTGATTGAAAGTTCTGAGGATTCAGGGGCTGTTTTGAGCTCAGTCCTAGACTAAAATCTGAAAAAAGAGGGCAGCAAGTCCTAACTTGAGGGGCATTTTATTTTCAAAATAGCCCCTGCCACGAAAAAAGCAACACCAACTGTTGAGGTTAAACCCATCTGTGGCAGAACTTGCCCAAAATGTCCCATGGGAACCCTGAACCTGAATGGAGTTGGTGTTTGCCCCTGAGGGACATAAAACTTTGGATAGGAATAACAGAATAATAGAGTTGGAAGGGACCTTGGAGATCTTCTAGTCCAACCCCTTGCTCAAGCAAGAGAAGACCCTATTCTATTTCAGAGAAGTGGCTGTCCAGGCGTTTAAAAGCCTCCAGTGATGGAGCACCCCAGCTTCTGAAGGGAAGCCATTCCGCTGATTAATTGTCCCCACTGTCAGGAAATTTCTCCTTAGTTCCAGGTTGTTTCTCTCCTTGACTAGTTTCCATCCATTGTTTCTTGTCCTGCTTTCTGATGTTTGGAGAATAGGTGGACCTCCTTCACCTCTTCTTTGGGGCAGACCCTCAGATACTGGAAAACTGGTATCACATCGCTCTTAGTCCTTCTTTTCCTTCTTTTTTTTTTCAGGAGAACAAGGAAGGTTCAAGCAATGTCCAAGTGGATATTTTCCAGGCAGTATAGCAGGAGGACAACTGTAGTTCTCTACAAACATGTTAATTATACTTTTCCTGTTATCTCCAGAGTTAGAAAATCCCTAGATACTGAAAACAGTCAAAGAAAAAAACATAAAAAGTAAACAACCTTGGAAAGTTAGCTGTGCACCTCCCTGAAGTGAGTTTTCCTTCTCTTTTAGCAAAGAAAGATTCCAAGGTGTAGAAGAAACACTGATTTCTCTGTGCCTGCTTCTCCCACCGCTGAGCAATATTGTTTTAAGTTGGCAGCATTCATAAAGTTTTGACTAATGCTTCTCATGTTTCTTCTTTCTTTCCTTTTTTTTAAATTCATGGATCCCACAGGGACATCTCCACATAGCACAGGTGCCACAAGGAGAACAGGTCCAGATCACGCAAGACAGCGAGGTGAGCCTTCAACAGACTTATCTGGAAGGAGCAAACTTTGTCTTCCATGTGGCTGGAAAAGAGGAGAAGCATTGAGTGGAATGTGCAATGCTGTAAGGGACAGCGGCGCCCTCCTCCTTGCCTCTTGGGCCACATAGGGAGAAGAAAATGTTATGTTGTTGGTTTGAGCTCCGAATTTGGCAATTTGGTTGCAACAACATAACTACCAATCCGAGCTTCCAATATTCAAAGACATTTCAGAAGAAAATGTACCTGGGTACAAAGGCATCTGCAGTTCCTAGCTAATTGTAAATTGGAATAGGATGGTGGCCTGTGTGTCAAAGGCAAATCCATGCTTATCTGTTGAAGTGCGTGCATTTTATAATGTGTAGCAGGGGCATGCTTTCCTGCTTAAATGTATTATTTCTGCTGAGGTATATTACAGGCAGTCCTCAACATACAACCGGTAGCTTAAAGACTGTATGAAGTTATGACGCACTCAAAAACTTACAACCTGCCCTTGAAGTTACAACTGCCACACCACCCTCCACAGTCATGTGGTTGCATTTTGGGTACTTGGCAATCAGTTCACATTTACAACCGGTTGCAGCATCCCATATTCACCCGACCACATTTTGCGATAGTTTTTGCCCTTTTGCAGCAAAAAATATTGGCAGCAACTACCCCTGTGCAGCAGAAAAACAAAACAACAAAAAAAAATGCCCATGGATAAAATGGATTTGCACTTACAACCATGTGGTTTGTTTAAGAACCACTGTAACCCAATTAACGACCATGGTAAAATGGTTGTAAAATTGAGTCTGGTCTTGTGGTGTCCCGACCTATGATTGCAATGACTTATTATGTAACTAAAATTTCAATCTCAATTGTGGTTATAAATTGAGGACTGCCTGTGTTTCTCTCTGGAAGCTAATCTGTGTATTTTGCTTAAAGAATAAGAAATGTCAGAACAAGAATTCATGCCACACAATTTCAAAATCTGCCTGAGGTCGCAGACAAACGAACTAGAGTGGCTGAGAATCTCCTGGTGTTAAGGAAAGGCGAAAGCAAGGAATGCAAATTGCAGGAAGAAACGGCTGTGTTTGTACACCCCTATGACTTCAGAGGGAGTAACCTTGGATGTGAAGGGAAGCAGGATCAGGTCCATCTTTTATCCAGTTAGATAACATCTGGATAGGAGCTAATTCCAATTTATAGTCTCTTGGATGGAGCCAAAGTAGTTGTTGACAGCCTGATGTTTACAGCAAATAATGAAAGTTGGATCCCCTTATAACTTCCTTTTGCATCCTCTGTGTGAATTTCTTTATATGAAATTAATTTTTCTATTACTCAGGTTTCGGAGAGATATTACTATTTACAAATGAAACAGATTTTTTTCATGCTTTTTTCATACTTCTAGACTCAGAAGCTTCTCCAAGATTGGCCACAACAAAATATTTGGAAACAGATACTTTTGTCATTGTTTAACGGAGTTTTTGTTTGCCTCTGAGTCTGAACTGTGATAAAAGAAAAGACCGTCAGTAGAAATACCAGCATTAAAGTTTGCAGTTATCATACCCATTCAGAAAGCTGGATTCTGGAATGGCCAAAAGGACACCCTGTTGCTCTCCTAATTTTAGGCTGAGAGGGATTTTAAATTCAGGAATGTCTCCACATTTGCAAATCAGATCCATTGCTAGCATGTAAAAAGCTTGTCCTGTTTATTGTTTAGCAAGTTTTAAATTTTTTCTCCATGAGCCCTTTCATGTCAGAGGCAGTAGAAGTCCTATCCTTTTCCTCCTTGCTAAAGGTCTTGGCATAGAAAGAGAGAAAAAAAAGGGAGAATTGGAGAGTTGTCTTGAATACACCAGCACAGCTCTAATTAACATTGCAAAAGCATAATTTTCTTTATAGGAGCAGAACTTTTGTTTTGGGTTAAAAGAAAGAACACAACCTGCATTAAATAAGCATCTACAGATGTTCTCAGTCATCCAGGTCATGGTTGTCCCAAAGGTGCTTTTTCAAAAGGCAACCGGACTTTCTTGATTTTTCTTGAAGGCCTTTCACTTCTCATCCAGGAAGCTTCTTCAGTTGCCTTAAATAAATAAATAAACACGTTTCTTTCTTTTGCAGGGTAACTTGCAGATCCATCAGGTTCACGTGGGGCAAGACGGCCAGGTAGGGAATCCAGCGCTGGTTTTAACATTTCAGCTCTGCTGCCGTTGGTTAATGCGAACCATCTGATTCTTGCAATTTCCTAAAACTGGGCAGAATACAACCGCTTTTTTTTTTTTTTTGGTTGTTATTTTTGGAAGAGTTATGAGTTAAGCTGATTTTCTGGCAAACATGCTTATCTAATATCCTTGTATGTGTTTATCTTAAATTTTGTTGAATTTTGGCTCCCTTGTCATTGTGCTAAATTGCTCTTTTCTTATCCGACTCTGTCGGCATGGACACATGTGGTCCAGAAATGTGCAGACATGGAGATGTTCGCAGATAACAGGCACTCGACTTCATCATTGTGAGAAAGAGACATTTTCCACCACCTCCCAGGAACTGTGCACACTTTCTGCCTTAGGCACACAGTGATATGGTTCAGGTGGCGGATCGGGAGGCCCTTTGCTTATGCTCAGACACCACCCTTCCAGGATGGGCATGGTCTTTTGCTTTAAAAGCAATTCGCCTTTGGGTTTCATTGTAACATCTACCCTGTCCTGATGGCTGATGGCATCAAGTGGTGGGGAATTCACCTTTTCGCCAGTGGCCATCTGGGGATGTTTCTCTTCTCCCTTCTTGTCTTAGGTTTGTTAAAGAATCTTAAACATGATTATTTATTTATTTGTTTGTATTCTACCTGTATTATTTTCACAAATAACTCAAGGCAGAGAACATCTCCAACACACCTTCCCCACAAGTTTAAGTTTATTAAAATTTATATGCCGCCCTTCTCCCGAAGGACTCGGGGCGGCTCACAGCAATAAAATTCCAATAAAAACAGCAATAATAAATACGATTAAAATTAACAATTAAAATTCAGTTTAAAACCCACAATTAATTAAAACTCCCAAAACAGAACAACAACCACTTTATGAGGTGAGTTGGACTGAGAGAGAGTGACTGGCCCAAGATCACTCAGTTGGCTTTCATGCCAAAGGCAGGACTAGAACTCACAGTCTCCCGATGATTGGCCAAAAGGCACCCAGACCGCTTTCATGCTTAAGGCAGGACTAGAACTCACTGTCTCTCAACGATTGTCCCAAAGTCACCCAGCTGTGGTTTTCATAGCTAAAGTGGGACTAGAGCTCCCAGCTTCCCAGTTTCTAGGGTGCCTTGACCATTAGACCAAACAGACTCTCTTCCTGCATCTCTCCCAAACTTCAGCCTTTGACCTCTGCGGCTCTCTCTCTTCTTCCTTGCCTTTGCCTTCTTGACTGTTTTGTCTGGGTGACTCTGTTGGATCGATGTCTGGTTTTTCTGGCACGCTAGACTCTGGTAGTGATAGAGTAACTCTCCACATGGGTTCTATTAGCTCGACGTTTCGTGTTTCAGGCCATGTTTAATAGGAAGGCCAAAATGTAGAAATAATTAAACTTTCTGCTTGAACTAATGTAGATGATGAGAGTCCTCAGAAGGAAGGGAGGGGCTTCTGTTGGCAATAGGGGTAGATTCTCAAATGACCTGCTTTTCTTCTCGTTCTTTTCCTCCTGCAGCTCTTCCTCTAAAGCAGTGTTTGTTAACCTCATCAACTTGAAGAGGGATGGATTTCGACTCCCAGAATTCCCCATCCAGCACTCTGGCTGGGGAATTCTGGGAGTCAAAATCCACCCGTCTTCAAGTTGCTGTGGTTGAGAAACATGGAGGGAAATTTCTGCATGTTGCTTATTATCTACTTCTGGTTTTCGGCAAAACTGCAACATAAACAACTGCCAGCCTTAGTTTAAGGCTGTAAAATCTCATTGGTCATGGGACCAACCCAATTGTGATGAGCATCATGACATATGGAGGTAACAGACAGGTTCCGTTACGGTGGTACCTCAAGCACTTATCTAGGTAGTGTTTCTAATTGGTTTTAATTGCTTTTGTTCGAGATGGGCAGCCACAGTTTGATAAATAAAATAAGTGGCACCAAACATAACAGCCATATCCTCTTTTTTGGAATCTTGGCTTGTTTTGGTGAATCTTGGCTTGTTTTGTTTTGGCTGCTTCTCAGGGTCTGCTGTCCACGGATTGCGGGAAGTTGGTTTGTGAAGTACTCCTTGACTTACAACCATTTGTTTAGTGTTCAAAGTTGCAACTGCAAAAAGTGACTTATGACAGTTTTCCACCCTTACAACCGTTGCAGCCTCCTCATAGTCACGTGATCAGAATTCAGACATTCTGGGCTCAGTTGTGGCCGTAAGTCAAGGATAACCTGCTGCCGTGTGTTCTAGTGACCTCACCGCTCTATCAGGAACATCCCTGTCCACTTCTGGTTACAGGACAATCTGTACATTTAGGGAAAGGCGAACAAAAAATAACCCAAATAATTGCCCCAAGGGCTCCCCAAAAGGTTCCTCATATCCTCATCACCTCCCAAATCATTTTAATGTGTGTTTATTCCTAATTAGCTCATGCCAAGAGGCAAACGTGCCTGTTTATGCAGAGGTCCAATTTTTCATGGGAAATCTCCCTCCAACCCCACGTTTTCCGTGACATGGATCCACGTTCTTCCTTCCAGCTTGTATATCGCCTTTTATTAGCATTGTCAGAATCGATCGAATTGATTGAAGTCCAGTTGAGATCTGGCATGACCCAAAGTCACGGGCTTGTTGCAGTTGTGGAGGGGGGGAAAAAACCCATTCCAGTTTTAGCATTTTTTGAAAACAGATTTGGCTGATGCAAAGGACTGATAAAAGTTTAAGGAGTGCATGGACTCGGCATACTTTTTGGGTTCAAAAAGAAAGAAAAAAAGCAACCAGACTTCTTTTTTCTAATTGAAATTGCTTTCCAGACGCAAAATATCTGTTTTATTCTTCTGTTTATGCAATTGCGTAGGGCTGTCAGATTTAAATTGAACATCCTACAGGGATTTTTTTTTTTACAAACAGCCCCAATGATATATGAACGCAGAGGCCTCCTTGTGGAGATCCTTGGCGCAAGGACACTCTGTGTTTACTCTATCCTTATTTAATTCAAGATCAGTACACTCCACCCCAAACTTCTTCAACCAGAGAGCATCTGATTAGAAGGGTCTATTCAGCTGCAGCATTGGGCTTCTTCCTCCTCTCCAGTGAGGTAATCTTGACCTCTGGTTGCATAAGGCACTCAAAACATACAAGGGCTTTCAGAGAAGTGTTAGGTTACTTACAGGGCTTAAGCAGTTCAAACTTCGCAGCTTAAAACCCACTTATAAATAATGAAGTTGGAGGGACATGTATAGGGGAAGATTCTTGCAGTGAGTGTTCAGGAGGATAGTGTCCAAGAATTATAGGAATACGTCATTCTATTTTTATGTCCTAAAAACGGGTGTCCTCCTAACAGATCCCACATTTTGGTAGTGTGTAGGCAACCGTTTCCCAAACTGGGAAAACTTAAACATCTTTTAAGATGGCAGCCTTGGTGGAATACACTCATTCCAGCAAACACCCCCAAAAAATTCAGCTGAGACCCAATTTATTAAATATATGTGTCCAAATGCCTTCTTCGTGGGCAATTAAGAAAAAGAATAGCATAGTTTGCAGCTGATTGTGTTTTTAAGAGAACGATGATGTTGCTCAATATTCAAATATAGTGGCTTTCATTCTCTTTTCTGACAGGGTATGTTTGGTTTCCTATCAAGATAGAGGGGAAATAATAATAATAATAATAATAATAATAATAATAATAATAATAATAATAATAATAATAATATCTTGACCTTCTGCAGTGTAATCAATATATGATAACATTTCTTACATTTCATCTCGGATCTGTGGACCCAGTCTTTGGGTATGATATAGAGATGAGGTGCAACTGAGACGTTGTTGGAAAAAAATCTTTGATGGTGACACTGTTTGAGATTTTGAGACAAGGCAGAGAGAATCAGGTAGACAAACCCTGGACCTCGTCTGATCTTTCGGGGTAAACTAACTCATATTCTGAGGACGGAGACATTCGGAAGGGGATTTTTCCTACCACACCACTGAGAGAGACCGACTCTTTCTTTTGTGTTATACTTCTGCAGCAGCTGCACCATGCACTCTTCTTCTGTTTCAGAACATCTGCTTTAAATAATCGAGACTCAGAAACAAACAAGATTGTTAGAAGAACAACAAAGTGAACCACTAAACTCTATACACTGGAAATCCAAAAATTATTCTTTTTCTTTCTTTCTTTCTTTCTTTTTTTTGAAGTGCCAAAGCAGAGAAATTAGTCTCAATAGTACTACAAGCAGGTCTTGGCAGATATGGTTGATCTTGACCCATCAGCCCCAGCCAACATGGTCATTAGTCTAAATGAATGAGAGTGTTAAGCGATAGTAAGTAGGCTGAAATGTATTCAAGAGGGGACAATTTTTTGTAAGATGGAATAGATACTTCCAGTTCCAGATATCGACAGTTGCCTTCTGACAGTTTTTATGATATCAACCATATTGTCCTTACTGCTTGGTTTTTCTTCCACTGAAAACTTTTCGATGAAGATTAAGGATTTGTTTGACAGTCTTTCTATTGCTTTTTGACAGCTGATTGGTAGTGTATTCTCATCAGTCCCCTTTGTCTACTAAAAATCACCAACAGGTTCTAATTTCAATTAGAATCAGAATAGAGCTGGGAGGGACCTTGGAGGTCTTCTAGTCTAACCCCCTGCTCAGACAGGAGACCCTACACAATACCAGACAGATGGCTGTCCCATTTCTTCTTTAAAACCTCTGGTGATGGAGACCCACAACCTCTGGAGACCCACAACCTCTGGAGACAAGTCTTTCCACTGGTTAAATGTTCTCACTGTTAGGAAGTTTCTTTTTAATTCCAGGTTGCTTCTCTCCTTGATTACTTTCCATCCATTGCTTCTTCTTCTTGCCCTCTGGTGCTTTGGAGAATAAATTGACACCACACACACACGTGTGCATATACACACACACCCCATTTGTGGCAGCCTCTGAAATAGTGGAATATAGTAAGTCTTTTTTGTAACAATTTCTCACAAAGTGAAAAAAATAT